AGCAATTCTTGACTTTTTCCTTTCCAATTATTCCTTTGACTTCCTTTTTTTCCCCTTTGACCTCCTTTTGTTGTCTAATTGTTCTGGCTAGAATTTCAAGTACTATATTGAATACATAGGGAAAGATTGGGCAGCCTTTTCTGTCCCTGATTTTAGTGGGATTGCTTCTAGAAAGTCTTTAATTTCTTTATTTATTTCTTCCCTAACCAAGTTGTCATTGACTAAAATGTTGTCCAGCTTCCATAAGAATGTGTGCTTTCTCTTGTTTCTGTTGTTATTGAAGACCAGCCTTCCCCTGTATATGGTGATGATTGAATTCATGGGATTGATTCAATATTCTTGTATCTCCTGAGGCTTGCTTTGTGTCTGATTATATGGTCAGTTTTGTAGAAAGCATTATGAGGTGCTGAGAAGAAGTTATATTCTTTTGTTTTAGAGTGAAACTTCTGTAGATATCTGTTAAATCCATTTGGCTCATAACTTCTGTTACTTTCACTGTGTCTCTATTTAGTTTCTGTTCCATGATCTGTTCATTACTGAGAGTAGAATGCTAAATTCTCACACTCTTATTGTGTATGGTTCAATGTGTACTTTGAGCTTTTGTACTGTTTCTTTTACAAATGTGGTTGCCCTTGTATTTAGGGTGTAGATGTACAGAATTGAGAGTTCATCTTGATGGATTTTTCCTTTGATGAGAATGAAGTGTCCTTCTGCATCTCTTTTGATAACTTTTGGTTGAACATCTATTTTATTGGATATGAAAATGGCTACTCTAGCTTCTTTCTTGGGACCATTTGCTTGGAAATTTTTTCCAGCCTTTTACTTTTAGGTAGTGTTTTTATTTGTCATTGATGCGTGTTTCTGTATGCAACAAAATTCTAGGTCCTGTTTATATATCAAGTTTGTAGCCTATGTATTTTTATTGGGAATTGAGTCCATTGATGTTTAGAGATGTTAAAGGCCAATGATTGTTTTTTCCTGTTATTTTTGTTGCTAGCGGTGATGTTATATTTATGTGATTATATTCTTTTTCATGGGAGTAAGTTCCCTCCTTGTGTTGGAGTTTTTCTTCTATTATCATCTGTATGGCCTGAGAAGTGGCAATTAATTGTTTAAATTTGTGGTTGTCATGGAATATCTTGGTTTTTCCAACTACAGTGATTGATAATTTTGCTGGATCTAGTAGCCTGGGCTGGCATTTGAGTCCTCTTAGGATCTTTGTGACATCAGTCCAAGATCTTCTGGCTTTCAGAGTCTCTGTTGAATCATCTACTATAAATCTGGTAGGTCTACCTTTATATGTTACTTGGCCTTTTCCTCTCACTGCTTTTAATATTCTTTCTTTGTTCTGTGTTTCTTTTTCTGTGTTCTTTCTTTAGTGTTTTGATTATTATGTGATGGGAAGAATTTCTTTTCTGGTCCAATATATTTGGTGTTCTGTAGGCCTCTTGCACATTTATAGTCATCTCTTTCTTTAGTTCAGGGAAGTTTCCTTTTATAATTTTGTCAAAGATGTTTCTGGACCTTTGGGCTGAGAATCTTCACTTTCTTCTATACTTATTATTCTTAGGTTTGTTCTTTTCATTATGTCTTGAATTTCCTGGGTATTTTTTGGTTAAGAGCATTTTGTACTGTGTATTTTCTTTGACTGTTGTGTCAATATCTTATATGGCATCTTCTATGCCTGAGGTTCTCTCTTCTATCTCTTGTATTCTGTTGATGATGTTTGCATTTGTATCTCCTGATTATTTTCCTAGGTTTTTCATCTCTAGGGTTACCTCCCTTTGTGATTTTATTTTATTGTTTCTATTTCTATCTTTATATACTTAATGGTTTTGTTCAATTCCTTCACCTGTTTGATTTTGTTTTCTTGAAAATTTTTAAGGAATGTATGTGTTTCCTCTTTAAAAGCTTCTACTTGTTTACCTATGTTCTCTTGTATGTCTTTAAGGGAGTTACTTATGACCTGCTTAAGGTCCTCCGTCATCTTCATGAGATGGGATTTTTAGGTCAGAATCTTGCTCTTCAGGTGTGATAGGGTATCCAGGGCTTGCTATACTCAGAGAACTGGGTTCTGATTGTGTCAAGTCATAGTGGTTCTGTTGCTTATGTTCTTGTGCTTGCCTCTTGTCATCTGGTTATCTCTGGTTTTAACTGGCCTCATTGTTTCTGACTGAAGCCTGTTCCTCCTGTGAGCCTGGTTATGATGGGCCTCTTCAGGTCAGGCTATCTCTAAGTGTGGAAGGGAGACTGGAGCACCTGATCTGTGAGCCTGACTGTGGAGGACCTCCTGGGAGTGAAGCTATCTCTGCATGTGGGTGAAGTGGGCGTGGCTGAAGCAAATGATCTGCTCCCAGACACTGTTGCAGATTGGACTGAAGATGTATTTCCAGCAGGGTGGGAGGTCCTGCATCAGCTGTGCTGTGAGGGCTCCTACTTAACCAGGTATTGAGGTGCGGGCCGGTCTCACCTGTGAGCCTGGTTGTGGCCGAACTTCTTGGAGTCAAGCTGTCCATGATTATTTCTTATAGATATGATTTGTTTCAAAGTGAAAAATATAGCCCTTACCGTAAAAGAAATGATAGTTTATTCTGCAGATAAATATGAGTGACGGTAGCTCAAGACCACAGATCTAGATTAGCCCAAATATTATGATGATAATTATATGACATAGTATTCTGCCTTCAAAAGTTTCAAAAGATAAAATTTTATCAGGCAGGATGAGGCCAGGGACATGTACCCAGACAAGTCAGGAACAGATTCACATCAAAACAGGGCTAGGAGAAAGGGGCCAGCTAACACACCCTTTGAAAGTCTACTCAGCCAGGGCTTATCTGGCTTTGATGAATGGATACCATAAGACATGCTGAACTTTTCAAAGCAAAGAGGTCATGAAGTGTTTAATGAGATTTTTCTATTGTTATTAGCTATCAAGATGCTTACATGATAAAGATTCAGTTAAAAAAAACAGAATAAAACACATAAAACACGTATGGTTTCTGTTTTTAAATTGGTGAATAAGGTAAAAACAAAGCATTGTCGATTAAGTGAGTGGTAGTATTTTGGATGATATAAAAAGATAAAAATAATCATTGAAAAGTTAGGAAAAATGTACACTTTATGTTTTTTCAATCTATATACTGTGCACTTAAAATACTTGAATAGTTCAAGCTTACAAAGTTATTGATGTTAAACAGAGTTAAACAAAATTACTGAAAAAGAAAGCCAAAGTTACTTCATTGGACTAGTGAAGGTAGATGATTTAGGCAATCCATTACCACACAATTAGTCCAGGTCATTAATGCTTATAATAATAAGCATTATAATAATTTTACTATCAGATTATGGGTCACATTAGCATATTAGTCATGATAATAAGGCAAGTAGGTAAATGTGCCTGCCTTAGCTTATTTTTTTTACCCTGAGAAGAGTATTCTCCAAGTGGAATTGTATTTTAATACCTACAAATATTTTATATTAACTTCTACAAGATATTTTTAAGCATTAGAACACATGTTTCATAACTTAAAAAATTTATAAACCTTGTTATGAAGCAGCTATCTCCCTAAGCAGAGATGTGTCATTTCTAGGAGTTTGCACTTGTACTGTTTGACTTTCTTTGCTGCTGTTGAAACAGGGACCTGTTTGTAGCTAAGACTCACTTGTAAAAAGACAAATTCGTTAACCACTTCCCATCTCAGCTATGGTTGAGGGTGTGTTTACATTGTAAATGAAGTCTCTATCCCTTGAACAGGTAAAGGAAAAATCCAGAGCCCATCAACCAGGTTTAGTTTGGAGACAGTTTTGGGTGCAATTTTACATAGGTTGATATTACCTACAGGCTGAAAACCTTTTTACACAAGAACTTATGCATAGCCGTTCCCAAGACATATCTGGTCATGGGATGGGGCAGGGATTGAGTAGGCTCTTAAATATAAGCTTCTGGATCAAGGGAAGAGTTCTAAACAAAATAATGTAAGTCTTCCATTTCTCAGGGACTTAGAAATGAGATAAAAATATAGAAAAATATTTCTAACATGTCTGCTACTAAATCTGGGACAAATTAGCCATAAAAACATCTATCCATGTGGCCTTTCTGTGTATGCACCACCATTTTCTTTGGACGGGACAGATGATCCTCAGTCTAGAAACTCTCCCTTGGGCACTAAGTTAGGACAATTTCAGCTGCAGTGATAATTTCACCTTGTGAAATAAAAGCACCACTGCTGGGTCCAAACACACTGAAGCACAGATAAGCTGATTAGCACACAAGCCTTTGTTCCAGGATTTCAAAAGGATCAGTTGAGAGGATCCTTTGCAGAGGCAGGGATTGATTACAGGCTCTGAGTAATCTCTCAGAGATAAACTCCTGTCTCAAGGGGAAAATTTTAAACAAAATTGTAAATCTTTCATTCTTTGGAGATGTAGAAATTAGATAAAGTAGAAAAAAACATTTCCAAGTCTCAGCTACTTGGTCTGGAATGTGAAATAACATTATCAAAGAACCATGGCAGAAGGATGATTGGTATCTCACAGAAGAGCATGAAAAACTTGTAGATAGCCAGGGAGCACAGTGTCCTGGGTCAGATATTCAGGAGAAAAAAAAAAAAAAACAGAGCAAGTGTAGAAAATGCAGGCCATGTGCAACCTTGCAGACTGTTTCAACAACAAAGGATTCATAACTCTAAGAAGTACTTAGCATTCTCTAATTACTTTCTCTAAGAACTACTACATGGGAGATGGAGTGGCAAACTACAATATGTTTCTGTGAAATATGTTTCTCAAGAATGGGAATACATGTTTCTTGCCTTGAAACAAGTTATGGTTCATGTTATGATAAATTCAGAACAACTTTTTTTCAAAAAAAATCACAAAACTTATTTATTTAATTCAATATTCCTCTAGAAATCTGAAGACATACTCTGTGAAAAATAAGATAACAAAAGATCCTGGCTCTAGATAATTTGGAATATTATCTACTGAGGAATGTGAAGGACGTATTTAATCAGTGTTTAAAAGCACATTTATTTCTTCCTCATGGATCCATTGGATTTCCCACCCAAGTTACTATTTCAAGAAATCATATATTCCAGCTTCAGATCAGGTACTTTAAATGTCTGTGCAGAACTCAAGTGTTGTTCCAGACATTTTCTTCTTATAGATAGCATCAAATTTCTCATTTTGGGCCATTGTGAAATAATTTTTCCAGTCACCAACAACACCTAAAAATTATAACACATGAAAAAGTAAAACATGAATTATAAAGAAAAAAACTAATATGCACCAAAGGAAGGACTAGATACTTAAGGAATGAATTTGAACTATATTACATTTGGCTTCAAATATAATTTCTAATATGAAAAAACACAAAAAAATTATATTAGTTTTATTCTAATTTGGAATAAGTTGATATAATATATATGCACATACATTTATATTGATACAGAGCCGTCTGATAAACCTTTAAAAATAATCTCATATTGAATAAATATGACTATCTTAAAGCATCATTTAAAAATAAATATCATCATTGATAAATCAGGCTTATAACTAACCACAGAGCTCATATTTCAAGAGTTATTTTGAGAGAAATGATTTTCTTATATAAGATCTTGTGGGTGGGGTGTCTCTCACTGTCCTCAGTCATGGAGTTACAGCTCAATGTTCAGTGGTTAGAGAGCATTTTATTTTCTCACGTATAGAGTCTGGAAAAAAGTCAACTGTTCATTGTCTAGTAGAGATATCAAATGGGAAGCCGATGTGTTTAATTTCCTGGCATTTACAAATGAGAATTCTGCTCTCACTGGACGATTCTTGTCCCCTAATTCACAAGATTTCTACATTAATTGTAATTCAGAGGAGAATAGGATTAAAACAAAACATATAAATAAGATTTCTGAGCCATCTTGAGGCAAACATATGACTTTGAGTGTTTCAAGGAACAAGTGCTTCATACAGGTATTCACGAGGAGCCTGTACTATACATGAATTACTGAATAAACACTCACCCTATTGTTTGAATGTTTCAAGGAACAAGTGCTTCATACAGCTATTCACGAGGAGCCTGTACTATACATGAATTACTGAATAAACACTCATCCTATTGAATGAGTGAATGAAAAAATGAATCTAGACAGTTGCCACAAATATTTTATATTTATGTATAATTTATGTTTAAAAGACTCTAAATTCTTATGCATTATTTTATATAGTATCTTTCCAAATTTTATACCAAAGGTGTTATGTTTTACATATTTTGTAAATGTTACAAGTAGAACATTGGCTGGATAATTGATGTATTTGATGTCATTGATTTAGAAAGACTATAGCCTAGATAAAGTTTGGGTAAGTCTAACTACAGAGTATGCCATTTTCTTCCTCTACAGGAGATGTAGACTTCCTAATTTTTAGGTCAGCATGTTTTCTTCAATGATGAAGCTGTCCAGCCCAAAACATCAAATAGAGACATAGAACTCATCAGACTTTGAGCTAACAGGAGACTATATACATCTTCATATGTCTGGGGCTAAACTCTCTGGAAAATTACATTCACTGACATGACTGATTTGAACTACTTTAACAAAAGAATTATTTTAAAACCTCTATTAGAGAAAATTTATATGTAAATAAATATATATGCATATACATCAGTCATGTTTGTTCCAAATTAGAACTCTTTTCCTTGCTCTGTTTTATTATAAATTGTCTTTGAAGACAAAAACCAGTGATTTTCAAATAAATTTAATACTTGCAAGTTTAATAAGATTAAATTTACTACTAAAATATTACAACAAAACTCATTTCAAAATTGTCTTGGTTATATGTCTATGTCTGCACACATACTTGGATTTATTTTTGTCCAGCACTAAAGAGGATCCTATTCTTCTGTTTCTACTCCAATAAATAATAATCAGAATAGAGGATGACATTAGTAAAAAGGAAACTTTTAATTATTTAAGTTACTAATCTGTGAAAAGTGTTGGCTTACTATTACTGAAATGGACTATGAATACGAAGCCACAATAATTTACTTCAATGTAAAAAAATAATTTCAACAGTGAATTCCATAGTCTTTTTATATTAAATTTGGTTCTACGTCCAGTAATTCAGATTGTATCTATAAGTAGGAAAAATGCTCCATAAGGAAAAGAAACTTCTTTTTGGTGAGATGTCCTTATAAAAATGATAATTATTTTTTGAATGATATGAGAATTTAAAGAAGTTGCATTTTGCTAGGTAAATTGCCATTGAGGAAAGAAGAGGACCCAGCCAATTTGTAGAATGGAGTAGAATGATGAACAAGAAATTGCATGGTAATTGTAAAAGTCACACATTTAGAGTTGCAAATGAGAATGGCATTTATGGAACCTTTAGTAACTATATACATTATTCTTCTTTGTAAGACTGAATCTAATGAAGCAACTTTTGTCTATAAGTATTCTTAGTTTTCCTTGATTTCCTATGAAGAACAGAAACTTTAAAAAGTTAAATAAAACAGTAAAAGTCAGAATTGTTTGTTTGTTTGTTTGTTTTTTCACAAGAAAGTGAAGGTCGGAGTTACATACAATCAGCCAAGTTCTACCTTTTCTCATAAAAGGGGACTTGCTGTGATCCATCATCGCTGTGGGCAGATGGGTGTAATTGACCAGGGGGTTTTCTTTCATCATTTCGAAGGAGGTGTGATGGACTATCCTGTCCAAGGCCTCTTCGTCCAAGGTCTTGTCTAGAAAGCTGGCAACCTTCTTGATTTCTTTCTTTGGGTTCTGTCAGTGAGTTAAATGATAAACGTGTGGAAAGAGAAAACATGTAAACCACTCACATAATTTACAAACTGAAGCAACATTTATAATTCCGTTCTTATGCTTGAGTCTTAATGGTATTCAGGAGATTGAGGAAGAGAGATGAAAAACTCAAGGTCTGCCATGCTACACAGAAAGATACTAATTCAACAAAGAAAGTAATGAGCTGAGGGAGACCTCAGTGGTTAAAAGCACACACTGCTCTTCTGGAGGACTCGAGTTTGACTCTCAGTCTCTGCACAGGGTAGCTCACTACTCTGGACCAGGTTCCACTGGTCTCTGCAAGCTTGTGCACTCAGGTACACAGACAGAAACACTCAAGCATAACTATAAAAATTAATCAAAATTCATCTTCTCCTTTTAGTTTATAGTAAAACATGACATAATGCTTGTAACTTTAAGATAGAGAATTAAATATTCATTGATCTATCAAAAAGATGTTGAAAAATATTAAAACTAAAATTGAGAGATGTGATTTTGAATTTAAACAAATTGTAACCTATTAAGATGTTGGTGTCAATTCCCAGGAGAAGACATAGCTTATATTCTTAGTATAGAATTTTGAAATGTTTTCCAAAATGGTTAAAAAAAGAGAGAGAAGTAGTTAGAATTGGGTATAAGTAGTTCATATAAATGAGAAAAATTATAAAAACTTGGAAAGATGAAAATGCTTTGGAGAAAATTAATAACATTCTAGGACATATTCATGAAGAGATTATACTATATTTTTATTAAATAGGGAAACAATGACATTTTAAAACATTATTAGCTATGTGTATGCATATGCATACACATGTATGTATTAGCAAGTGATCTTGCAGTAAGAAAAGTTTTGGTAATATTTTCAGGAAGTGGAGAATGCAGTATCTGCTGGAAGATTATCAAGAAAGAAGAGCTCACTGAATCTTCCTCTGTAACACATTCTCAATAAACAAGACTAACACTATGTGTATATATATATACATATATATACATATATATACATATACACATACATATATATATACATATATACATATACATATATATACACATGTATATATATGTATATATGTGTGTGTGTGTATGCGTGTGTGTGTGCGTGTATGCGTGTATGCATATATATATACACACACATTGTCTAAAAGTATCTAGATGATAGAAAGCAAACTATTGCCTACTTAGAGCAATGTATGTAACAGGTTTCAGGGAGATTTAAAAATGTTTGGATATTCTTCAAGAACTCCTTGGGCTGGTCCATGCATCATTCAGAATATATTGCTTTGAATAAATCACATTAGCTATAATGAGGAAATTAATCAGCTAAATTCTTCCAAGGATAACATAGGACCTCACTCAGAATTGGGGTAATTTAGATTCTCTTCTGTGCTGCAACCTAACTACAACTTGGATATGGTGGAAATTTTCAGGTTATTTGAGGTAAAATATGAAACATGCTCTGAGGTCTCCCAGAAGTATTCAGAGAGTATTACTATAAACAGGGGCATGCTGCCACTAATATTTTGGTTACTACATTCAAACATTCTTAAAGTAATCATATTATCAAAGGTTATTTCCACGTATGACTACTGAGGCACAATATTTAAGGTGAGTACCATACTAATTACTGTAAGCATAGTTTCAAATCAACAGGATTTTAGTTTCCATCAGGGATTTGAGATTTGAAAGGTGTTCTAAACTGTATATCTGGATTTTTTTCAAACAAACATTTCCACCCATTTTTCAATACTGTGTGAGGGTAGGCATGATTGTCCAATTTTGGTAGAAAAGCCCAGATTAATGACAAAGGATACTGCAATAATATTGAATAAAGTTACATCATACAGACTAGTTGAATTCATGAACTAAAATAGATTGAAAAAGTTCCTAAGAAACTTAAGAGAGATACAACAGAAAGCTTGTCACTCAATCCAAGTCCAGAACATAGGAAAAGTAAATTTAAGTTATACTGTACTCACAACCTAACTTATATCTTGGAAAACAAAAAGGAATGATAAAGTCAACACTGAAAAAAGAAAATAAGTGTTTTAAAAATTGACATGTTGTAGAACAAAACAAATCGAGTTTTCTTTGGAACATGTTAAATTAATTCCAATGCGGATTTGAAATTCAACTTACAAAACGAAGAATATACAGATCTGGGGATGACTCACAAATAAATATGGGTGGAAATGCTGAACAAAGGCATGAAGGTCACCCTACAGCAAGCAACTGCACAGGGAAACAACAGGGAGCACACACAGACACCAAGCACACGATCACGAGCATGATGTCCTTATAAGCCCAGGACAGAATTTATGGATGAAAGGAGGATTGAAAAATCATATGCAAACTAAAAGAAGAAAAGAACAAACGTAGATAAATGATTTCACAATTGCAAAGTGGTCACTGGTCTGATAGACTTGCAGATAAGGGACATGGGTGATAAGAAAACAGGCGTTTCATTTCGAAATCCAAAATTTAACTCTAAAAATAAAGCTTAATGATTTTCCTATGACACAGATACACATTATAATAAATATCTAATATGTTACCTGTTTCAAGTCTTCATAGTATAAGTAAAGAAATGGATGTTCTTTCCTCTTTTCCCACCAATTTTTAACGTGATCGAACCATGAACCATAGGCTACTAAAATAGAAAAAAAAATAGTACCTTCTTAAGTGTTCATTAGATCAAATATTTCTGTGTGTGTGTGTGTGTGCATGTGTGTGTGTGTGTGTGTGTGTGCATTTATGTGTGTGATAAGTCAGTTGCAAAGACATTTTTTGGACTTTGACAATCAAAGAAGCTGAGACTATAGGATAAGTTTCCAAGACGGTAAAATTAGCCAATAATAGATGCACTTTACAAAGGGACCATTTTAAGTAAGACTAGATTGGTCGCCACTGAGTCATACCGATACCCATGTAAGATTCATTATATAACAGTTAAAATCTAAATATCATAGATATAGCATGTATAATGTATAATAGATCTATTTAATGATTAGCACGACACAAGAATGGACTTTTAACACTTAGAATGTGTTCATATGCCAGTGATTATTATGATACTTACAAGTTGAATTTTATGGTAAAAATTTAAATGTAGTTACTTTGCTACAGTGGACTTTAATATACTAAGTTGTGCCAAACTTGAACTTTCTCACTTTAAAAATCATGAAAGGAAACTCAATTATTTAAATTTTGCAATATCTTAAGTAAAAACTATTTAAGATTTTAAAGCTAAGGCTTAAGCCTACCTACCATTTCCAGCTAGGAATTTCTCCAGATATTCTTCCCAGGTGCCAGGGAAAGGTTGAACATTATTCATTAGATCAAAATGGTAATAGGAGATAGCAACATCCTTGCCATTTCGAGCAAGGTAAATCATCTACATGGGAAAGGATGAAGAAAAGCAAAGGGGGCTGCATTATTAATAAAGGCAGGCAACAGAATCCGAAACTGAGTCACTCCTGCTCCAATTGTTAGGGGACCCACATGAAGATCAAGCTGCACAGCCGCTACATATGATTACAGAGGGGAGGCTAGATCCAGTTCATTCTTGCTCTTTGGTTGGTGGTTAACCATCTGTGAGCCCCATGTGCCCAGGTTAGTGGGGGATCTACAGGACTTCCTGTAGGGACCCTTCCAACTCCTTCAATCCTTCCTGCAATTCTTCCATAAGGTGCCCTGAGCTCTGCCTAATGTTTGGCTGTGGGTTTCTGCATCTGTTTCATCAACTTTTAATAGCACTTCTAATATAGAATCTCTTCTCATGAACATATTAAGGTTTTAGTTAGCATACAAAAATAAAACTTTCATATATACAGATGATTACACTTTGTTTTTACTTTGGTACACCAAATTCTTTACATAAACTAAAAAAGAAGAACTAGATAATTCTCACAGCAGAGTTACTATCAGAGACATCTTGAATTTTTCAGGCAAATGGATGGAACTTGAGAATATCATCCTGAGGGAGGTAACCTAGATTCAAAAGGACATGCATGGTATGTAGTCACTTATAAGTGAATATAAGCTATAAAATACAGGATACCCACACTACACTCCATAGATACAAAGAAGGTAATTAAGAAAGAAGGTCCAATCAAGGATGCTTGAATCTCACTTAAGGAGGGAAATGAAGGGAGAGAGAACTGAATGAGAGTGAGGATGGGGAGGAAAATAGGGATAGTTCAAGATCAGGTATGGGGAGGGACAGAAGAGATGGCAATGAGAATGAATGGAAATCTGTAACTGTAGGATGGGGATACCATGGGCATTTTGAGACATCTTACTGGGGGTGAGAGAGCCCAAGAATCATTGAGGGTGACCATAGCTGGGACTCACAGAATTGAATTTATAGAACCTAAAGAGGCTACCTCCGGTAGCCAGGCAGAAACCCCAAGTGGAGTTGTAGGAACACCAACCCACCCACAAAACTTTCAACCCCAAATTTATCCTGTCTACAAGAAATGTAGGGATAGGAAATGGAGCAGAGACTGAGGGAATGGCCAACATATAAGTGACCCAACTAGAGACCCATATTATAGGCAAGCACCAATCCTTAACACTATTAATGATACCCCGTTATGCTTGCAGACAGGAGTCTAGCACGGTACCCTATGAGAGGCTCCACCCAGCAGCTGACTCAGACAGGTACAGACACAGCCAAACAATGGATGGAGCCAGTGGACTCTTATGAAAGAATAGGAGGAATGGTTGCGGTCTCTGAGGTGATAGGAACTCCATAGAAAGACAAACAGAGTCAACTAACCTAGACCCTTGGGGCTCTCAGAGATTTAACCACCAACCAAAGAGCATACAAGGGCTAGACCTGTACATACACAGTAGCTATCTGTGCACCTTGGTCTTCATGTGGGTCCTGAACAACTGGAACAGGGGCTATCCAAAAAGCTGTAGCCTGCTTATGTGCTATGGTATTCTACCTGGGCTGCCTTGTCTGGCCTCAGTGGAAGAGGGTATGCCTAGCCTTGCTACAGAGACTTGGTATGTCAGGGTGGGGAAATACAGGGGCAGGCTCTACCCTCTCAGAGGAGAAGGAGAGGGGAATAAGAGAGAGATTGTGGGAGGAGGTGACCGAGACCAGGGTGGGGGGCAATGATAGATGTAAAGTGAATAAATAAATAGAAAGAAAAACAAACGATTATTGAAAGCTTGAAAAAGCTTGTTTCTTGCTGAGTAAACAGTACAAATATTTCACTAAATAATATCAACAAACATGGAAAGAACACATATTCTCTCCTTAATACTCTTTGTAGAATGCCACATGATTGTGGGGCATAAAAGGGGATAAAAGTGACAATATTGTACTGTTACATTTAAGTTTAGAGACTTCATATACATAAATTGAAATTAATTCTAAAAATCTTAACTGTTGATAGTGGCAAAGACCTATTAGAGTAGAATTTGAGAGGCTGGAGAAGGAAGATTAAGGAAGGTGATATCAATATCAAGGCCAGCCTAGACTATATAGTGATACTTTGTCTCAAACAAACAAAACAGAGTCAGAAGAGAGAAGAGAAGAGGAGACAAGTAAGGGACCAGAAGAGGTGAGGAGAGGAAAAAAGATAGATGGCAGGGGTGGGGTGGGAGATGGGGAGGGACGTAAAATGGCAGGAGAGAGAAGAGAAAAACGGTCACGCACTTTCTAGTGTAGTTTAGTTTTCTGTATCATAAAGCATGCTACTGCTTCTCACAATAATAATAAATAAATGGACAGGGTTCAGCTGGGAGCTTGGCCTGTAGTCCACAGTGTACCTTGCACTTGTTCTCCCAGAAAGATTTAGGGAGCAGATCAATTGGAAGATGTGTCTTTATAATCCGAGGTGACGGAGCTTTCTTCAAGAGTTCAAGACCTGGGAATTTCAGTTTAGAACACAGAAAGATCAGAGTATCAATGAAGCTCAAATTTCACTTTTCCTTCGAATATTTGTAAATGCTATTTTACTCTGTGTGTGTGCACATGAATGTGTACGTGTGGTGTGTGTGTGCGCGCGCGTGTGTGTGTGTGTGTGTGCATGTGTGTGTTTTAGATGTGTATATCAATCACCGTACTCTTGTGGAAGTCAGAGGACATTTCTCAAGAGTCCAACCTTCTCTTGCACTGTGTGTTTCAGATTCTTGTACATATGCAAAAATTATCTTTTCCTGATGTGTTATCTGACTGCCCCTCAATGATTTTTTTCCATTTTTGAGCAATATTAAATATAGGTGAATTTTAAATAAACTACAGTCATTTTTTTTTTAGAATTCCAGAAGGTACTATGAGTTGACAGGTAACAGTGTACTGTTTGACGTTCACCTCACTGTGTTAAAATGTCTTACTACTATCATTTTACTCCTTGTGAGATATTTTCAAATTATTTGTGACTCTTGTTTTATTTTCTTTATTCCAAAAATGAGGAATAAAACACTACTTAGTAACTTGGAATTTTATCGGCTCTATTTCTTCAGAATTTTATCAAATCTATTTTTAATCACATCTTTCATACAAATCTTAAAGTCTTATGCACACTTTAATTTCAGTGTCACTTAAAACCATTCTTATCTTTGAATTAACTGTTAATAGAATATATTCTTGTTATTTTTCTGAAAAACCATTACGTTTGATTAAGCAATTCCAATCACTTGTTTTAATCATTTATAATTTATAATATGACAGCTTTAATCATTTATAATAATTTATAATATGGCATCCAGTCCCAGTGTTCTGTACAACACTTTCCTGTATGCGACACTGCATTTACTTTGTCATTGTGGCTCAAAGTTTTAATATTAATACTCAAGAGACTGAGGAATGAGAATCTTAAGTTCAAGGCCAGCTTGGACTATTTAGAGATGTCCATGGAAGTCTATTCTTTATAGGAAATTTTCACAAAACAAATGAGCTCGATCCACTGTTCTCATGCTTATTGCCTATGCCCACTCTATTATATATATGATAATATAATATATGACATATAATATATAATAGAATGGAAATTCTCTCAGAATAGAAATGTGATTTATGTTGTTTACCAATAAATATCTTGTTAACTAAAATCCATGTTCATAGCAAATATTAAACACAACCCTTTTATAACAATAGAAACAAGGTCATGAAAATCTAATAAAAATCTAAGATGGTCAGTAAAATTTGAATTTTAGATAAATAACATATTTTTCATTTGTGTCTCTTTTAAAATCTTTGGGATAAATTTATTCTAAGTCAAATGTCTTATGGTCTGAGTTTTAAATGTAATTGGAGGTTGGACATCCTAGATTTATCTGAAGATATTAAGTAAAAACTTAAAAAATTCCACATCAGATCTCAAGTAGCTACCACCATGTTTCCCGGTAGAGAGAAATGAAAGTTGTAATCTTCTATAGGCACGTGTTTCTCTCTTACCCTCAGGCTGTTTTTCCCATGTCTATTTTTCCTTGTCCCTGCCTCAAATTTTATAAAAGATTTCTCATCTTCCTCTGTCTCAGAGTCAATTTTCCAAGTGAGATAGTTTAAATGAACCATTTATATCATGAGTATGACCTCTAGGAGTTTATCAAGGTGTCACAGGTATCCACAATTGGCTCTAGAGTAAATCCAAGTACCACCTTCACCTCTTGGTTAAACTTTAGCAAACCTCTCTATGGCAATCGACTCCACCCTTAATCTTCAGCAGTAATTCCAGACTCCCATGCCTTCACTATCTGGTTTTATATACTTCTGTGGTATTAAAATTATCATTACTTTTTTTAGCTTTTATTTTCCCTCTACTTTAGACAGCAACTAAGGACCAACTTCCTCTGGAACTTATAAACCTTCTTGCTATGAGCCATCTCCAGGGCTGTCAGGGATCTATACTCTTCTGTTTAAATAAGTATGGAAAGGGTTACTGCCATTCTTCTGTGTTCTTATCTAGGTTCCCAGGAGGTTTACTTAAAATGACCTCTAACAGTTGCCTATAAGACCAGGCTTTTCCAGTCCCTCCTAGCTTTAAAATTTTTGTTATTGCCACTATCTAAACCTCTTGATGATGGTAGTTTTATGGATAACCATTATATTTTTATTACACTTTTGTTGGCCAATAGCCTTGTTTCCAAGGATGGATTATGGTGAAAGTTGCCAAATGAATATCTTTTAAGTGATTACTCAAAATATCCAATACCTGAAATCTAACATTTTATACAGAATTATTAATAACCTTACCCAGATACAGCCTCCCCAAGTTTCCAAATACACCCCTGGCTTCATAGAACATTTGGTTGACCTAAATAAAACTTCTTGACTCACCCTTCATTCTCCATTTACTCATACTTCTTAGGCGATCTGTAAGCCAATCAATCTAAAGTATATCTCTAGCATTACAAATTTAATCTCACATCGCCACTAGTGTACAATTTGTATTTTAAACAACAAAAATGCCACTCAATAACTCCTACATGCCTAAAGCCATTCAATGTCTTCCCTACCATGTTTAGAATAAAGAAACTTTTAAGCATTTCACATTAATATATTATTTTTAATTCTGCACTATATGATTTCAAGTTGCTTCGTACCCTACTCCTTCCTTTGTCTTCACTGTTGCTTTAGTTCATGTGTTGTCCTAGAGACTTTTCATCCATCTGTCCATTAACACTTGCATGCTTCATTTCCTATATTGTGTTTGCCCAAAATACCTGTATAACTTTGGGCCTTAATTATGTGTAGCTAGAATTGAATGTTCCATCTAAAACAATCTTTCTTATGATTATAACTTGTACAGTTTTATTCTTTGGTTCTATAAGAGTAGTAATGTTGATATAAGTTAATTTACTTTCTAATGTTACAGTACTTGTTTACATTCCTTGATGAGAAGATACATATTTTACTAACAATTCTATGACTACAGTGAATAATTCTTTATAATTATGCAAACATCTGTGCTTTGTTTCTTTTTTCTTTCTTCATTCTTATTTTTCTGAATTGAAATTACTAGTAGGACAACGTTAGGTGAAAATACTCTTGTAAGAATTACAATCACAAAGGGATGTAATCTTACCTGATATTCTTATTCCAGGAATACTCAGTTCTAACATTGGAACTTTAGAGGTAATAAAATCTCGCTTACACTTTTCAACATTTCCATCATTGAGAATCATGTCTACAATTTCACTAAGCCAAGTAGTACCTGTAACAGAAGGCGTGATCAGTTTCTTTGTCTTAAAGGTTTACTTATTATTTAGTGATTTACTCTTTGAGAAATTCACATATGTAAACATGAAACATTGTTGTGATTTTTTTAAAAAAATAAATAGATACTTTTTAATATTACAATATCATAACATCACTTGCCCCTTCCCTTCCTCCCTGTAAATTCTAACATGTCCCCACATGAGTCCCCATACCAGCTTTGAAGTGTACAGGATTCATTTCACTTCTGTGGTCACACACATGCATACACATATTCCCCACATACAAACAACTACATACACACATAGGAATAAAAGAAAAATGTAAGACAAAAAAAAGGCAGGTTAGAGCTGGATTTTTCATGACTCAGGACTCACCTGACTTAGGGTAAGTGGTTACTACAATGTCATCAGATCTGCTCTGAAATTTTTCAATCTTTTCCCAATCGAGAGCAAAAGCATAGACCATGGGGTAGCCATGGATCATCTTCAGATCTTTCCTCCAAACATCTTCTGAGGTGCTCATTTTTGCAGCAGGCTGTACAGAAGGAATAGAAGGAGTAAAAATCAGGTTCTATGTAACAAGTGTTAAACTTAAGACACCACAGTATAGTTCAAAGTGAACTTTGACTTTATCACAGAGCACACAGAAACACAAAGCGTATCATGCAGGAATAACACTACAGACTGGCAAGGGCGGCAGTTGGCTCTCTGACAACAGGACAAAGGTCTTCAATACAAGCTTTCAAGAGAAAAGGACTATGCATCTTTTGATACATAGTCATTTTTTCCACAGATTTATGCTAACAAAAAATCTCCATTTACAGTAAAATATCAGCAGTTTAGCTGCCCTCACTTTTCTTTAGGGTTAGTTTGTTGTCATTCTGAGTTTTAAACTAAAAGCCCTGCATATGCTTTTTTCCTCTTCTAGGAATTGTTTCTTTGTCACTCCTCTTAAAAAAATGATTCAGAATGCTACAAATCTCTGTGTATGCCCACACATTCAAATGTAGACTTCAGCTGTATTGAGTATTTTGGAATTGTAGGTATTTTGTTCCTTTAAATTTGATTAAGTTACCCATGAAGTCTTAAGTTTTAATTTAGTTTCTAGTACTATTTTATATTTATAGCATAAACTGATATATGGGACATAAATTCTGGTCTGCATTTAAATTCTCATGCTATCTGTTTCTTCCGAGATCTTATTAGAAGTTCAGGATACTCAGGTCCCAATGTAGACTTACGACCTACATTTTAATGAGATCCTAAAATTCCCTGAAATAAGCAATGCCTTAAAATTTGAGAAGGATGATTCTACATGACTTTAACTAATCTCTAACAATGTGGGTTGTAGATACATAATTGATTTAAATAGATTCAGTGTCTTCCAGAAAATATATTGCTTTAATTATGTTTATTTCCCATTATTGCCATTCCTCACCCAGTAATTTTTTAAATTGCTTTATTTATTTATTTATTTATTTATTTATTTATTTACATACTAAATGTTGCCACCCTCTTCCCAGTCCCTCCTCCAAGAGTTCTTCACCTTAATCACCTTTTTATCTGGTCTTAAGACATGCCTTTTATTTTGTAAGCCGAATCAGGAAGCAGTTCTAGCCTGTCTGTTCAGAGGCTCACAAAGGAGGAGTGGCCACCAAGAATGGACTTTGGCCTGCTACTGACTCGTATTGCATATTTACTCTGTACCCAGCCCCATGTTTTAAAAGAGCCACGACTTAGCTCATCCGTATAAGAGTCTTTACAATTTTTAAGGAGACTTCTTTAAGTCAAGGAATTATTTCTTCTCCACCTGAACCTCAAGCTCCTCACACAGGAAACTGCTAACTGAAGTGAATGAAGTGTGCACCATGAGAACAATCCATCCAGTTCCAAACTCAGCCATCGTGCCAGGGAAGGCAGATCTGCAGCCTGCCAGTTACCAGGCTGGGGGAACAGTGAGAACGGTTACTTCTGAGTTCAGTATTATAGGAGAAACAGAGAACAGAGGACAGAGGACAAAGGAAGGTACCAGATGGTTAGTACTGTTGAGCCAGATATGCTGAAACATGGTTTCATATTTTACATGTTCCCTGTAAAATATGAAACATACTAACAAAAGGCCTTTAAGTCAGGCAGGAAAAGAGATGGAAAATTTTTTCAGTTATAAATTACACAGCATACAAAATCTTACTTCAAGTAGAGACAGGACCTGAAATTAAAGTGCCTGAAATTCATTCTAGGAACAATCAACAGATTAAAATAGGATTAAAAAAATGTATCTTAGGAGACAGTGACTGAGTCATCTGACGTTAAGATTGAGTGATTCTCGGAATGAAAGACCTGTGTCTCCGATCAGAAGTATTTGTGAGGCACAGTACTGAAAACCATGAAAGAAAGAAAGAAAGAAAGAAAGAAAGAAAGAAAGAAAGAAAGAGAGAGAGAGAGAGAGAGAGAGGGAGGGAGGG